TCCTTCCTTCCTTCCTTCCTTCCTTCCTTCCTTCCTTCCTTCCTTCCTCTTACATCCTTTCTGTTTCTCTTTCTTTTTGCTTCTCTCTCTCTTGATCCAGTTCATTTACCTTTAATTTTTCCAAAATTAAAAACATTAAGTCCTACTGCTAAGGAGACAAAGCAAATACCAGAAAGAGGTAAAGTGGGATGAGTGGGTACACAGAACCAGAAGGGGAGGTTGGCAAGATGAACCCTCCAATACTTTAAAAACTGTTCATCAGCAACTATGATGAAAGCAGGAACACTGCTAAGAGGCTGTGCTGTGATATGGCCTCCTTTCTGCTTCTTCTTTTTCTCATCCAAGGTATTCTAGGCTCAAGGTATGAGTTACCCATTCCAGATTTCAATGTTGACTCTAAGTCTCCCTCTAGATTTCTCATGCAGTGTATTAGGCATAGCCATTCTTCTTTTGATGTTTCAGGAAAGAAGAGCCAAGAATAGTTTTGCCTTCTAGTGTGTTTGGGTTTGAAAGGAGGAAAAACAGAGTCACTGCTTCTTAGGACTTTTTTTTTTTCTTTTTGAGCTGTAGCCCCAGCTGGCCTGGAATTTGCTATGTAGACCAGGCTGGCCTTGAACCCACAAAGATCCTCTGCCTCCCAAGTGCTGGAATTAAAGGCATGTGCCACCATGCTTGGCAATAACTTCTAAGGACCAGAAAAACCACAGGATGTGCACGAGGCAAGAAACCTCAAAAGCTTAGGACACTGTGCTTCAGTTTGCCTTGCCAGCTCCATTGTGTGGTGTATCACAATCGTTAGCAAATTTCAAGAACCTTTTCTTGAATATTTCAAATATGGAACTTAAAGGGACATGAGCAAGGTCATGGTACTAGAATGGGATGGAGGACTTAATCTACTGGTCAAGGACCATTGTAGATGGTCATAGTGGCACCGGCCTGTAATCCCAGAACTCAGGAGGCAGAGCAGGAGGATCACTATTAAGTCCAAGGCTAGCCTGATCTACATAAGGAGTTCAAGGCTAGCCAGGGCTACATAGTGAATCTTTGTCCCATAAGTCAGAGGGATGAAAAAAGAAACAATTATGCTACAAGTACAAATAGTTAATGGTCATTGTGTACCACTGTCTTGGCTTTCAGATACCAAAGATAAAGTATCAGTTATATTTTGGAGCACAGAATACAGGAACAATAGGAGAGAAAGTGAACTCAACAGACTAGACTGTGTTTATTAGCACAGTAAGGGCAAAAACCTTCCCAAGGGATGGAGGCTATGCAAGGGCCATAGTGCTGATCAGAGTCTTATGTATAGGGCAGCAGCTAGCTACAAGGAGATTTTAGGGGGGAAGCTGCTGCAGGGGAGACAGGGGCTGCAGGGGAGATTTATTTTTGTTCATTCTTGTGGTTTCTCTTTGGATTCATCCATGTGGCCTGTCTGGACACCCAGGCTGGGGGAAAGAGGAAGTCCCCAATATAGAAATGGATGGCGGGGGGATGGACTAGGGGACTCAGATGTTCCGTGGTCAGAGGTTCCATGTTGTGCCAGTTTCCTTCAGTCAGAAGCCATGAATGTACTGGCAGAGGGGGACAGAAGAAAGGAATGAACTGTATCAATAGTGGGAACCTCTGCCCCTTTTCAGGAAAACCTTCTAAATGGGGCCATCTTATAAGGCTTCTCTTGCTTCTTCCCAGCATTCTTGTTACCTTGTGTTACTCTATCTTTGTGCTTTCACTCCACCTACTCTTAAATGGAGCAGGACATTTTCAGTCTGATAGTATCACTAAAGCCATCTCAGTGCCTTTGAATACAACGTAGGCCCTCCTAGTCTTCAGCCCTGGGGATGATGAAGGGATAGTAGCCACGGAACTTTAGCATTAGGCAGCCCACTCCCCTCCCTCCCTTCCTCCCTCTTGAGACATCAAATATAACTGGAAGTTTACAACTTTCTTTAAATGATACTTAGTTCTCTTAGAGCAAAGGATGGAGCAGTTTTTAAAATTAAGTGCTAAAGTCTGCTGACCTCAAATATCTTTTTTCCAATGATTAAGTTTTAGTGGTTCTCTATTTGAGATAAGGTGGCATCACACTTGCTATATAGCTGAAGATGACCTTGATCCTCTTTGTCTCTACCTCTTGAGTGCTGGGATTATAGACTTGAGACACCATGCATGACTTCTGGTGCCTCTATTTTTATATAGAAAAAAATGCAATTCTATGTGGGCGGAAAAGTTAGAGATTTGGACTTTATGTGTCTTGTCACTGATCTTGAATTCAGAAGCTTACAGTATAAAATCCTGACTGATGACAGACTTCCTTTTCTACTTGAAATTGCTTTTTAGAATTAATGAATATGTAACTATGCAAAAGATTGTTTTGTTAGTGATATAGTTTTGAAGGTTATTCATGTTTCCAATTTAGGTGTGTCTACCTGCCATTTTGCCTGGGCTTTTCATTCAGAAGCTGAGGAAGAACTGATCAATATGATTCCAGCAATTCAGAGAGGAGACCCTCAGTGGTCTGAGTTAAGAGCTATGGGAATTGGTTGGTGGGTGCGGAATGTTAACACACTTCGAAGATGCATTGAAAAGGTAACTTTTCTTTGTTGGATTTTGAAGCCCTCCAAAAATTTTTTTTGAGACAAGATCTTATGTATCCCAGTTTGATCTTGAATTCCTGATCTTCTTGCTTCCTCTTCCAAGTGTTAAAAAAATATTAAAGGGTGCTGGATAGATGACTCAGTGGTTAAGAGCACTGGCTGCTCTTGCAGAAGACCCAGGTTCAAATCCCAGCACCCATATGGTGGCTAACAACTGTCTGTATTCCAGTTCCAGGGGATCTGATACCCTCTTCTGTCCTCCACAAGCACTGCAAGACATGGGTGAACTTACATACATGCAGGCATAACACTCATAAAAATAAATAAGCACTTGGGAGGCAGAGGCAGGCGGATCTTTGTGAGTTCAAGGCCAGCTTGGTCTGCATAGTGAGTTCCAGGCCAGCTGGGGCTACAGGGAGACCGTGTCTCAAAAAGACCAATAATAATAATAATAATAATAATAATAATAATATTAAAGGAGGACTGGAGAGATTTCTTAGTGGTTAAGAGCACTGGCTGCACTTGCAGAAGATCTGGGTTTGGTTCCTAGCACCCATAGGGCAGTTAACAACTGTTTGTAACTAAGGGATACAATACCCTCTTCTGAACAGCATTGCACACACATGGCGGGCGCACTTACATACATGCAGGTAAAATACTCATACACATAAAATAAAAATAAATAATTTTTTTAAAAAATTTAAGGGAAAAATGTATCATGTTCCAGAAAGACTGTTAAAGGGAATTAGTTTGTACATTTTGAGAACAATTTTTTTTTTTTTTTGGTCTTTTTGAGACAGGGTCTCCCTGCAGCCCCAGCTGTCCTGGAACTCACTGTGTAGACCAGCCTGGCCTTGACCTTGCAGACATGCGCCTGCCTCTGCCTCCCAAGTGCTGGAATTAAAGGTGTGCACCACGACACCTGGCAGTTATAAAAAATTATTTTTATTCATTTTGTGTGTGAGTGTGTGTGTGTGTGTGTGTGTGTGTGTGTGTGTGTGTGTGTGTATACGTGGCGGTCAGGATAACTTGTGGGAGTCGGTTCTCTTCTACCATATGGGTTCTGGAGATTGAACTCAGGTCATCACTTGCTAAGCCATCTTATTAGCTTGATTTTAAGAAAATTGTAAATAGCCAGGCATGGTGACACATGCCTGTAGTCCCCACACTTGGGAGGCAGAGGCAGGAGGATCTCTTGAGTTCAAAACCAGCGTGGTCTATATAGTGAGTTCCCAGCAAGCTGGGGTTACAGGGAAGCCTTGTTTCAAAAAGATAAAAAAAAAAAAGAAAGAAAGAAAGAAAGAAAGAAAGAAAGAAAGAAAGAAAGAAAAAATTGTAAATAACTTTTTGTGAGTTTCTAAAAACATGACTTTTATAAAATTTCCATGAAGTATGATATTAGTTTTTGCTGTATATAATAACTTCATTATATATGGAACAGAAATAATTTTAAATTGCTAATTGATGTTTATCTTGTTTGGAAAAAAAGCAAAAATCTAGCCAAGTATGGTGGCCCAACTCCTATAATCCTCGTACTCCAGATGCTGAGATCAAGGTTAAGAGATAGAGGGCAGCCTGGGTTATAAAGCAAACTCCAGACATAGTTCCTATCTCAAAAAATTAAACAAGTCAGGCATAGCGATGCATACCTGTAATTCTAATATTCAGGAGGCTGAGACAGAAGGATTTGAGGCCACCTTGGGCTGCAGTAATAATATAGTGAAACTTTGTCTCAAAACCAGTCACTACCACTAGCACCACCACCACCAGAACCACCACCACCTATAATCCTAGCACTCAAGAGAGTAGAGGCAAGAAGAAGAAAGTTTAAAGTAAGTCTGCTACATGAGACTGTCTCAAAAAATATGTTTTTACTTATATGTGAATATGTTTTTTAAATTACAAATATCTACCTCAGTACTAAAAGGACCTTATATTTTGAAGTCACATTTGTCATAAGCATTTTAACTTAATTCTTTTATGTTTATCATTTATTTGTGTGTTGGGGTTGGTGGGTGCATGCCATGGCATGCATGTGGAGGTCAGAGGACAACATGTGGCATTGAGTTTTTTCCCTTCACCCTGTGGGTTTCAGGGATTTAACGCAGGTGGTCAGGCTTGCCATCAAATGCCTTTATCTGCTGAATCATCTTGCCAGCCTGCATTTTAACTTTTTATAAAATAGTATGAAATGTAAAATATTAGATTTCAAGAGATGATCACATCTGTTGAATATTGTTTCATAATTGTGTTCTATATTAGTTTATTACTATGTAGATTCTCCTTTTCTTCCCATTACTGTGTGACCTTAGCTAGTCACTTAAACCTTTCTGGGTTCAGTCACCTCATCTGCAAAATGAGGTTAACAATAATACCTGGGGGTTGATAGTGATTCAGTAAGATTAATGAATGGTGCCTATACTGGTGCCAGGTGTATGGTAAATGGTTAATAAATACTAACTGCTGTGCTCTTTTTATTAGTTACTGGCATACAAATGGTTTTCTCTAGGAGCTGCATTATAAGCTACTGGAGCCAGATCTTCCCATTTCTATATTTTATTACATTCACTGTTGAAATAATTAATTGTAATTATTATTTTTTAATTATTTAATAACCACATAGTTAGAAGAAGCATTTCATTACATCAGCATTGACATATTCAATAACAATTTTCTGAGCTAGGATGAATCTCTTACAAAATTGATTGTACATTTTTAGGTTTACTGTTGAATTACTACATTTATACAATATTGTACTCAGTATAAACCCTATAAGACATAAAATTAAATGAGATTTTAACCTTTAGAAAAGATCTCTATTTCATTATTAAAATACAGAGTTTTACACAGAAAACTTCATTTTTAATGCAATTGACATTAAGATGTTTGCACATGTGTTTCTAATCTATATATATCTGATTATTACTAGTCACAGTCGGTTACTTTCTGAGCTCCTTGGCATCTGAGCATGGATATAAAGTCATCAGGTAGATTTCAATGATAATGTTTTTCACATCTACTAATTATTAAGGAGCAAAGTTTTATGCTTTGAAGAATTATTTTTAATCATATTTTTTCTACATTTTTGTTAACGATCTTTTTTTTAAAAATTATTTAATATCTAT